CTCCCCTCGAGGGGAATTGGTCCCAACTTCACCAATCTATCTCCATAAGTGAAGTTTCTCATCCTTGGAACCATTTTTTGTGAACCTTTTCGGCACCCTCTCCAATCTGTGCATCTCCCTCCCATAGAGTTGAACCCAGAACTGTTCACAATTCTCCAGCCAATAGACCCCATTTGGCACTAAATGGTGGGCTGGTCTTGCGCTAGGGTTTCATGCACAGGGAAGCTTTGCCTTCCAGAAGGAGGGAACAAATGAACCCACTAAACATTCAATGCTTTATACAACACAGTCAAAAGGTAATTGCATGTATAATAGATGCAATTAAGGCAAATAGCTTGTGTAAAGCTCTTGGATAGACTGTGGCCAAACAATAGCCACCTTCTTGTTGAGAGGAGCTGTTTAATGATGGAATATATGTTTCCACGTAGCTGCTAAAGCATTGGAAATTCTAACAGTGTCATTTTAAGGGGAAACAGACAGGGAGAAAGATTGTAAATCAAACAAAATCTGACACCTAAACAGCTTCAAACAAAAATCAGGTTGTGTTAGAGTCACAGAATCATAGAGTCATCGAGTTATACAGCATGGAAACAGACCCTTCAGTCCAACTTGTCCAGATATCCTAAATTAATCTAGTCCCATTTGTCAGCATTTGGCCCACATCGCTCTAAACCATTCCTATTCATGTACCCATCCAGACGCCTTTTAAATGTTGTACCAGCCTCCATTCCTTCCTCTGGCAGCTCATTCCACTCTCACACCACCCTCTGTGTGAAAAAAAGATGAGAAGGACACACAGTATTATCACAAACACATGCTTCCAAATGAAGGTACAGAACATTACATTCATGGATGGAGGCCTGCAGACTTGCTCAGTATGGGGATTGAACCTATGATCTTGGCATTATTAGCACCATGCTCTAAACAACCAAATTACTTTTCACAGAAAAGGAAACAAACAGTATACACAACAGTATATATCTAATCCATTTATAAGGGAGCACATATTAGAAGTCTTTAATTTTTCAACTAAGAAGAAGATTACTCCTGTTTTCTACCCCTTAAGTCTCTAGTGTCATAGAGATAAACTCCAAGTCAAATGATAACCTGTTTACCTCATCTGGGCATTGGACTTAAACAATTTAAATGGCTTGTGATATGTTACAGTACTCTGTCCTCTCTTATGTGTCTCTTAATTTTGAAATGCTAGAGATTTATATTGACAAATAGCTCATTCTTTAAAATGAAATAGGCTTTACTAAATTATAACAACAATGCCATTTTTAGGCTGAACTAATATTACAGCAGAATTTCTCTGTTGCCTGACTATGTCCAAGGTGAAGTTAGCATATGAATTAGATATTGGCTGTACAATATGACCTAATCGTATTTAGACCACATCAGGAGTACTGGAGGATCATAACGTACATGTAGGAATATTTTTATACTTTTTAATATGTTCAAACATCAATTAAAATCAAACTTAATTTTATATTGCGAAATGTAATAACTTTGAGATCTTTAACTTCAGACTTTTGCAGTTAAATAAAAGAAGACTGGCAGGCAAGGCATTGCTTACTGCTATTTTTCTCACACTACATTGCTTGAAACTTTCAGGGTTCCTGTTACTTCTTGCACTGTTCATTTACAGTAAGAGAACAGCCAAAATCCCAATCAGGCCTCTTCGATCCAAAGAATATTTACAGTATATTGTCCAGCTATGTGGCAAAATATTCTGGTAATGCCTTCTGTTCAGAGTATGCAATAATTGTTCGACAGGGCTGCAAGAGTTGCTTTTCTGTAGCACTGTGAAAGACATCTACCTGTTAGAACTTTGAAGTTGTAGCTGTAAGTATGAAAATTAATTGTAATCCTGAGCTAACAGTACATGGCCACTCAATGTCAGAAGTAGAGGATAGCAAATCAGGGCTATTGTGTTGTAGCCCTACTACTGATTGCACTGGGATCATGATATCATTCCTTTCCAACCAACATCTACTGAAAGGAAATGACTTGGAACAAAACTTATGAAGGAATAAAAAAATGCCAGTACTCAACATATATCCACAAGTAGTACTCCCATGCAGTTACTAACACAAGATTTAATTAAATGTGATAAAGCCACAGAGATAAATGGCAGTAATTCATTTTGTATGTCTGATTTTTTTTTATCCCTTCACGGGATGTGGATTATTGGCTGGGCTGGCATTTATTCCCTGTCCAAAGTTGTTCTCGAGAAGGTGGTGGTGAGCTGTCTTCTTGATCCACTGAAGTCCATGTGCTGTAGACCCACAATGCTGTTAGAAAAGGAGTTCCAGGATTTTGACTCAGCAGTGCTGAACGAATGATAGCATATTTCCAAGTCAGGACGGCAAGTGACTTGGAACTTGCAAGTGGTGGTGTTCCCATGTATCTGCTGCCCTTGGCCTTTTTGGACAATAGTGTTTGTAGATTTAAAAAGTGATATCTAAGGAGTCTTGGTAAATAACTGCAGTGTATCCCATAGATTTACACATTGCTGCTACTGAGCATCTGTGATGGAGGAGAGAATGTTTGTGGATCTGGTGACACTTAAAGCAGGCTGCTTTCTCCTGGATAGTGTTAAGCTTCTTGAGTGTTATTGGAGCTCAATCATCCAGGGAAATGGAGACTGTTCCATCATACTCGTGACTTGTGCCTTGTAAATGGTGGACAGGCTTTGAGGTGTCAGGAGGTAAGTACATCACTGCAGGATTCATAGCCTTTGAGCTGTTCTTATAGCCATCCACTCTACATCTACCTGGTCAATCCCCTTTAGCATTTATATACCTAAATTAGAACTCCTCTCATCCTTCTCAACTCCAGTGACTATAGACCTAAACTGCTCAATCTCTCCTCTGAGACAAGCTTTTCACTTCTGGCATTAATCTAGTAAGCCTTCTCTGAACTGCCTCCAATACAGCATAAAGGGACGTAGCTCCACTGTAACAGAATAGTACATTGTTCATTGCATCAGAAATTTTCGACTGGAAGTCCTGGGGTCATGTATTGCTGAAAACTTAAACCCGGCTCTTAAAGACTGGGAAAGCTAATTCTAGTTATATTCATCCCAGAAGGAAAAAAGAACAGTAAAGCTCATGAAAGACCCAAAAACAAACTAAAGAACCGCGGATGCTGAAGATCTGAAACAAAAACAGAAATTGCTGGAGAAATTCAGCAGGTCAGGCAGCATCTGTGGAGAGAAAGCAGAGTTAACGGTTCTGAAGAAGGGTCACTGGACCCAAAACATTAACTTGGTTTTCTCTCTATGGATGTTGCCAGACCTGCTGAGTTTCTCCAGCAATTTCTGTTCTTGTTGTGAAGGACACATACTAGACTGACTTGACTTGTATACTTCAAAATGGAGCTCCAGTAATATCAGTACATTCATCTCCAATTATTACTGATTTTTTTTACCGGTGTACACTTTGGAATATTCCTTAGTTGCTGATTTGGAAAGGCTTTTCTAAAAAAAACTGTTGTTGCTCTGGTTGTAGAGTTAGTAATGATGGCAATGTAATAGCAGCAATGTCATTGATCTAGTAATCCAGATGTCCAGGCAAATACTCTGGAGTCATGAGTTCAAAACCCACCTCAGCAGCTGATGAAGTTTAAATTCAATTAATATCTCTGGTAGAGATAGCAAGAACTTCAGATGCTGGAGTTAGAGATAACACAGTGTGGATCTGGAGGAACACAGCAGACCAGGCAGCATCAGAGGAGCAGGAAACTTTATGTTTCGGGTCAGGACCCTTCTTCAGAAACGGGGAGGAGGAAGAGAGCTGGGAAATAAATAGAGAGAGGAAGGGTGGGGCTGAGGCAGGTAGGTGGGATGGTGATAGATGAGTGCAGGAAGGGAGTGGTGGGGATTGGTCAGTGAGGTGGGAGGGGCGGATAGGTGAGTGAGAAGATGGACAGATTGTGTCAGGTCAAGGAGGTGGGGATGAGAGGAAGGGTTGGACATGGAATGAGGCCGAGGGTGGGGAGATTTTAAAACTGGTAAATTCCATGTTTAGGCCGCTGGGCTGTAAGCTCCCGAGGCCGAATATGAGGTGCTGCTCCTCCAGTTTCCGAGTGGCGTCATTGTGACCCTGGAGGAGGCCCAGGATGGACATGTCACCCAGGGAGTAGGAGGGGGTGTTAAAATGGTTCGCAACCGGAAGGTGTTGTCATTTGTCGCGAACAGAGCGCAGGTGCTGTATGAGCTCTACAAAGCGGTCTCCGAGTCTCCGCTTGGTCTCTGGTATTTGCCTCAAGAACAGTAACCACAAAGCCATTGTCAATTGTTGTAAAAACCTGTCAGTTTCACTAGTGTCTGTAAAGGAAAGAAATTTACATCCTTACCTGTTCTGGCCTGGATGTGAATCCAGACCTAAATCAATGTGGATGACAGTAACAATATTCTTCTGAAATGGCTGAGAAGTTAGGGGTGGGTAATCAATGCTGGCCATGCCTCATTCTGTGAAAGAATAAACAAATAACAAAACAACGTGCTGGAGACTGTGACTCACTTTCATCAGACTCAGCTTCCTGAAAATAAGCTCGTACATTTTAGAATGTAGAATCCCTACGGTGTGCAAGCAGGTCATTTTGCCCATGAGGTCCACACCAACTGTCCAAAGAGCATCCCACTCAGACTCACCCGCTACCCTATCCCAGTAACCATGCATTTCCCATGGTTAATCCACCTAAACTGCAAATCTTTGGACTGTGGGAGGAAACCGGAGCATCCAGAGGAAACCCACGCAGACGCGGTGAGAACTTGCAAACTCCACACAGACAGTCGCCTGAGGGTGGAATCGAACCGAGGTTCCTGGCCCTATGAGGCAGTAGTACTAACCACTGAGCTACCGTGGTAAAAATATTTGTCATGAAAACAGTTATCAAAATCTGAATGAAAATCTTCTCAAAGTACATTGGAAATAAATCACTTGCTTTCACCTGAAAGCAGCCTGATGTTAATCTCTCCATACATCCCACAGGTCTCCAAGAGGCAATAAGTACAGGGGACCTGGAGCTGGTGCAACTTGTCCTTCGATATCGCGATTACCAAAGATCTATTAAACGACTGTCAGGGATCCCTTGTCTATTAGAGAAACTCCGTCAGGTAAACCACCAGCACTTTTCTGTTGTCAGTTTAATTTGTTGTGGAGATTACTAATGCTGAATTATGCAAGCAGAAGATGTTAGAGAATTATAATGAAGCAAAGAACCTCGGATGCTGAAGATCTGAAATGAAAACAGAAATCACTGGAGAAACTCAGCAGGTCTGGCAGCATCAGTGGAGAGAAAGTTTTGCATCCAGTGACCCTTCTTCATAATGATAGTTTGATTTTGAGTTCCATCTTCCCTGGACCAATAGTGGTAGTGTTTGTGGAAGTTGTTGTACTGCAGGACATCTGCTCACACCAAAACATCCTCAGACTTTGAGATCCTAGGTGCCATCTTTGACTAGTTCTCTAGAAGATCAGAAGCCTGGTTATTCTGAATTGTTTGCTTTTAGATCCCGCCAGGCTTCCATACACACACTCACTCTGGCAATGGTCTGCAAGCAAGCCTGCTCCAAATTCATCTTGATTTCAGAGAAGGCCATTGTTTGAGAGAGACAGTTGAGGGGAATTTTTTTTAATGAGAACTTTTCTTCTATACAACATAAATTAATGTATTTGCAAAAGAAATGTTTGAATGCTGATGCAACAAAATAAGATGACAAATGTCAATAGCTCCAGATGAGAGAACTCAGAAGTCAACAGAAAAAGGGCTCAGATTATTATGCACAAGAAAGCCTATTTTCAAAGTTGAAAGCACTGATAGGCTTGATGTGATTGAAAAGTAGAGGCTTTCTGTGAAACTATATTTATATTAACCTGTGCTTGCAAGGAAAACCAGAGCTAAAATAAGACATTCAACCCATTAAGTCTCCTGGGTCCATGGATATAATTCCATCATGGACCCCTGCATTTTCGCCATCTGCTCATCCGTTTTTGTAAGGTTGAGTAATTCCCTTTTCCCTCCCTGCCTCCCTTGAAAAATAAATCCAGCATTATTGTTCTTAACCCTATAATTTTCAATCCTTTTCTTTGTTTCCAACAGGCACAGGACTTTTATGTTGAAATGAAATGGGAGTTTACAAGCTGGGGTAAGTTCAATCCAGTCTATCCTGTGAAGGGGTCAGGACATCTTGCTAAAGTATCTTTTTCATCACATTTCAGATCTTAGAAACCTCAAAAATATGAGGGCAATGTTTTTTGGTCATGCCTTTGAGGGTGAATGTATTTTAACATTTATATCCTTCCTTTGAGGAATAAAGGAAGAGGATTTCATTTTATTGGGAGGTGATAAAGAAGTATGCTGGTTAGTAGATGGTATGGTAAGCCAGAATGGTAAAGTAAGACCAAACCTGATGAGGACAGGGCTGATGTCAAAGAAAACACTCAGAAAGTTCACCTGTGTAATGGAGCTGAAAGAACAACTTATATTTCTATAGCACCTCTCTTGACCTCAGTCCAACCAACAGTGCTTCATAGACAATGCAATATTTTTGAACTGCGTTCCTTGTTGTAATGTAGTGATTAATTTGTCAGAGCAAACTCACACAAACAGTAACGAGATAATAACCAGATCCATCTGTTTCTGCGATGTTGATTGAGGGATAAATATTGGCTCGGATGGTAGGGATTAAAAATCCAGTTATTCAAAATCAAATTCTTGACAAGCTGGTCAAAGTCACTTTCTATGTGCCAGGAATGCCGCCTACCAGTGGAATCATGGACATTTGAGGGCTCCTATTTTGCTGAAATGCACAGCGGGCAGGCAAAGATCCCTGTGTACACAAGAAAATTACTCCCTTAGATCGGTTTGCTCCGAATGAAAGACTTTGTCTCATCTCTGCTAGATTATACAGATCACCATTCTAAGAGTCTTATCTGACATCAATCTTGACCTTTGTGGTTATAATGTGATCTCTGAGACTGCAGTGCCATGATAGTTGTCTCTAAAACTCTTCTCTCTGCCAGGCCTGATACATGGCATGGACACACTTGAAAGGTGCAAAAGATTCAAGGAAATAGCAAAATGTATTTTACGCCTTAAAGTCAGATAATGAACAGAAAAGATGTTACTTGAAGGAACAAATGGCTGGGCCAGCGTGAAAATCAGGAGAAGAAATGCTATATTTTTAGTTCAGTGGATATTCATTGATAAAGTGAGGAATTTCATCCTCTGAAGACTAATTGACATTTTGAATAATGTTTTGGGAAGGGAGTGGAAGAAGAAATATTACTTGTGAGGCAATGGAACAATATCTTGTGGGGGTGGGGGAATCACTATTTTTCCCTAGATTGATGAGTTCTCTGTTCTATAATCATCCTGTGACATTGCTTTTCCCCTGACTTTGTAGATTTGGTATCAGTTGACAATAGAAATGAAATCAAATTAAACTCATTGACAAGAGAGTCAAACCTTCTTCAAAGTTACAGCGCTCAGCTTTCGTCTATTGACAGAGTTCTTATCCTTAAGGTTAATTAGTTTGCATCAAAGTCTTACTTTCCCCGTGCGCCAGTGGATTTTCACAGCCATGCCATTTATATGCATTTTTGCCTTTTCTGTCTCTGTGTCACATACCATGAAATAATTTTTAGACTTGCTTCAGATATTTTTATGCTGATCTAGTTTGAATATCACAGCGTGTCCCATTCTGCTACTGAATGCCACTAAAAATACTGGCCTATCATAGTGGAAAATTCACACACAAATGGGTAAATTGTTTATTTTAAATATATTAACTCACTGTTTGGTCCTAAGACCCTTTTTCTTCTACATCCCGGCAAATTTTGCTTTACAAGTATATATCTAATTCCCTTTTGAAAATTAATATTGAATCTTCATTCCAATTCCATTTCAGTTGTGCATTCCAGATCATAATAATTCATAGGAACATAGGAATTGGAGCAGAAACAGGCCATTTGACCTGTTCAACCATCCAGTCAGATCATGGTCGATCTTCTACCTCAATACCATTTTCCTGCACTATCTCCCATTTTTATATATTTAGAAATCTGACAATCTCTGTCTTGGATATACTGAACGACTGAGGTTTCACAGCCTTGTGGAGTAGACAGTTTCAAAGATTTACCACATTCTTCTAAGTTTTAGAGAATGTAGGTCCAATCTCCTCAATACCTCCTCATAGAACAATCCCTCTATCGCAGGAATCAGTCTCATGAACCTATCTGGTAATCCCTCTGTGGTGAGCATGTACTTCCTTAAATAAGGCGATAGAAGCATACACAATACTCCAGATACAATCTCAAGAAGCCTGTATACAATTGCAACAAGACTATTTTATTCCTGCACTCTAATCCTCTTGCAATAAAGGCCATCATACCAATTGCCTTCTAACTGCTTGCTGCACCTGCATATTAGTTTTCATAAGTTGCCACTTAAAGGGATTCTCTCAGAATGCCGATTTTACATTTTTTTACATAAGAACATAAGAACTAAGAGCAGGAGTAGGCCATCAGGCCCCTCGAGCCTGCCCCGCCATTTAATAAGATCATGGCTGATCTTTTTGAGACTCAGCTCCACTTACCCGCCCGCTCACCATAACCCTTAATTCCTTTACTGTTCAAAAATTTATCTAGCCTTGCCTTAAACACGTTCAGCGAGGTACTTCAACCGCTTCACTGGGCAGAGAATTCCACAGATTCACAACCCTTTGGGTGAAGAAGTTCCTCCTGATCCCAGTCCTACATCTGCTTCCCTTTATTTTGAGGCGATGCCCTCTAGTCCTAGTTTCACCTGCTAGCGGAAACAACCTCCCTGCCTCCACCTTATCTATTCCCTTCATAATCTTATACGTTTCTATAAGATCTCCCCTCATTCTTCTGAATTCCAATGAGTATAATCCCAATCTACTCAGTCTCTCCTCATAATCCAACCCTCTCAACTCTGGAATCAACCGAGTGAATCTCCTCTGCACCCCCTCCAGTGCTAAATTTTAGGCGCCTTGTTACCAGTCTTCCAGCCAATGGAATAGGCCACATCCCGCTTTGCCATCCCATAAGGCCATAGATCATCTTCCACTTCAACTCCACTCTCCTGCCTTAGCTCTCTATGTCCCAATTCCCTCAGTATCAATAAATATATTGCTTGTAACTGCCATTTGGCCCATCGAGTCCACTCCAACCCACCAAACAGCATCCCACACCTAACCCTGCATTTCTGATGGCTAACCTACTTAGCCTGCACACTCCTGGCCACTATGGGCAATTTAGCATGGCCAAACTATCTAACCTGCACATCTTTGGGCTGTAGGAGGAAACTGGAGCACCCAAAGGAAACCCATGCAGACACGGGGAGACTGTGCAAACTCCACACAGAGACAGTTGCCTGAGGGTGGAATCAAACCCGGATCCCTGGTACGAGGACACAGTAGTGCCAACCACTGAGCTACCATGCTGCCCTAATTTTCAGAATCCAAAGATTCACAGCCTGCTCAGTGAAGAAATTTCCCATCTCGGTCATCTTATCCTGATATGAAGCAAACTAGGTCAAGACTCTCAAACCAAGAGAAACAGCTTTGCAGCATCTACCCTGTCAAGTCCTCTAACAAAGAATATCTCTTATTCCTCTGAAAGCCAGAGAATAGAGGACTATTCTATTTAATCTCTACTCATGGGACAACCCTTTCATTCCTATTCCTGTCAAAGCATCATCACCATTTGGATTATATCCATTAAATGCCCCCTTCCCCTTCTAGTTACTAGCTATGCATACTGAAATCCCATATTCCCCTACCATTTTAACAAATCTTCTTTACAATCAATCAAGTTCAGTCATTTCTACTTGCCCTGCTTTAGTCTCGTAAGGAGATATGTGTTGACCCGAAGTGTAAGATAAGGAGAAGGCTGTGTACTTCAGCTGCATTTAGCTTACTTGCAATGTGGCCAACCACAACACAAGAGTGTATTGCAGCCACCACTGGAGGTACAGAGGTACACTGGAGGCAAAGTCCCCAGTTGCTTGACTATTGTCACAAATGAAAAGATTTACAATATAAATTAATGCATTCTACAGCTCCAGAAATTAAAACAAAATGGTCAACTCCATAAGAAAGGAAGAATTTTCATTTATACAGTGGCTCAGTGGTTAGCACTGCTGCCTGACAACGCCAGAGACCCGGGTTCAATTCCACCCTCGGGCAACTGTCTGTGTGGAGTTTGCATGTTCTCCCTGTGTCTGCGTGGGTTTCCTCCAGGTGCTCCGGTTTCCTCCCACAGTCCAAAGATGTACAAGCTAGGTGGATTGACCATGTTAAATTACCCATAGTGTTCAGGGATGAGTAGCTTAGGTGGGTTATCAGGGGATGGGTCTGGATGGGATACTTCAAGGGTCAGTGTGGACTTGTTGGGCCAAAGGGCCTGTTTCCACACTGTAGGGATTCTAAGATATAGTGTTGTACAAGACCTCCAATCATCCAAAAGCACACAGCAAATTGCCATGTGATCATAGTGTGTTTTTTTTTGTTGTGGCATTAGTTGAGGGATGCGTTTTGCCCAGGAAACCAGGAAGACGTTCCCTGCTATTCTTTGACATAGGTTCATGGGATCTCATGCATCAGCCTGAACAGGATATGGACATACTGCAATGACCTCTCACCCCTTAAGATCCAGGTTGGAATTCTCACCTCCTCTGAACAGGCGGAAATCTTCTTTTATTAAAGAAAAGTCAGGTTCTGTTTTTGTTTAAATGTTTCTGCTTACACCAGCCCACAGCTTTCTATTGCATTAAGATAAATGTCGGCACAGTGTAGTTGGGGAGCAAAGAACAGAAAGCCCTGGCCAGGATTCTCGAATCAAAGTGATGAGCTTTAGATAATGTGAGTCTACATTGACCTCATAACCCAGCTCTGTAAGTATCAGCACCCCTCCGCTGGATGAATATTTTAAAAAAAAGTTCTCCCAAAAAGGCATTCTTGTTTCAGTAGAATTTATTTAGCTGTAGAAGATTGATTATGATTTGACAGGAAACTTAAACATTGATGAAATGCACTGAAAATTAGAACAACGGTTTCCTATTAGCGCCCAATAGCTTTGTAATAATGTAACTTGAAGTATTATGATTGTCTATGAAAGCCCTGGAGTTGAACCATCTGCTACTCCAATTCTGCCAAAATTGAGATGAAAGAGTAGCGGGATTAAGATATCTCCTGATGTTGCTGGTTGGTGTGTGGAGAGATCATTTTGTTACACAGGGCTGCAGGCCTGCACCTTTGCTGAGAGAGTTCTGTCATAATGCCAAGGCCACTTTCAGGAAGTGACACATTTTAGAGCACTAAGTTTGAGAACATACCTGTGATACACAGTCCCC